ATGGTGTATATGGAAAATCGTCAAAATTCTTCTCTTCAAGCAACTGGCTATGTACTTGTGACAGTTACAGACACTCAACCAGAATTGATTGCTGTTGGGTAAATTACATGTTTTCTTACTTTTCAGTCTAATAAAATGTTGAAAATTCTTTTATTTAGTTGCGTTATAGGAATAATGTGTGTACCAAATCAAGAATTTCAAGTTCTTAATCCAACAACACAAGTTGCTTTATTTACTGTTTGTGTTGATATTTGTCCAATTATTCTGAATATATCATGGAATATTTATCAAGGAGAACAAAATTCATCTTCTAATAGTACACAATGGAGTTTATTCAATGATATTATTTTATATGAAAATATTTGGTTTTTTGGTAAATAATTTTTGTAACTTTAATTTTATATAAAGTTTCATATTTATTTTTAAAAGCAACTAAAATAAGTTGTCATATATCCTCTAAAATTTCTCATTTTATTATCATTGCAAACTAGTTTTTACTTTTGACAAGTCTTTAGAAGATTGCTCTGATACGACTGTGATTCGATATATTATCTTTATTATTTATTTTAGGTAAAACTACAAGTAATTTTACTGCAACAAATCAATTATTTCTTGATAATCCCACGATAAATTTTTGGCAATTTGAAGTTGTTTATACTTTTATTTCTGAAACAAGTTCAAGTGCATTAAATTTTGTTATGAATCAATCTCCGACAAATGGTTCTTGTTCAATTAATCCTCAAAATGGTTCAACGAGTACTTTATTTACAATTTCATGTTCATATTGGTTTGATGAAGATGGCATTCAAGATTATTCACTATTTGGTATTTACATTTTCTTCTAAAATTCTTAATTATTTTTTATAAAATAATTTTAGTTTGGACAAAAGATTCATTAGAAAAAATCTTCATTGCTTTTTCACCAGTACCAGATTTTCAAGTTCGATTACCATCTGGAGATAATCAAACATCATTACTTAATATTATGATTTATGTTCGAGA